GAGAGATGGCGCCACATTATTGGGTATTTTAATGTATTTAAAAAACTTGGTATCAGTCAATTATTAGTGTAAAAATCAATAATTGAATGCTGAATTATAATAACTACGATGTAAAATTGTATAAGTATGCAGAGAAAAGTAAGAAATGTGAATGTATGAGAAAAATTAGTGTGTTCATTAGCTTGCCTATATGCTCGTCTAATATGAAAATATATGATTGCAATGAATTTAATGAATAATAAAGGTTAATTATGAACAATTATAGTGCTGCTGATTCAGCACTACTACAAACACTAACTCGGACAGAGACAACCGACGATGGAATAGCGAATAACCTGTGATTAGATCCCCATGAACTGTATTTCAGGAAAAATTCGAATTTTCGTTGTGTGACAATACGTGGAATTTTCCTTATGATTAGAAATGGCAGTTGGTTGGTGTTACTTATTCGACCTTTAACAAGGTTGAATAATCCGTAAGAGAAGAATGAGGATTTCTTTGATCGAAACCTGAGAAATCTACTTGAGCTTGATGATTTAGTAATTAGTTAATTAGGTAATTACCTCCGCCTCCAGCGCGCAACATATCCAGAAAGGTGTTCTCGGCGTTACCACGCGTGCGTCCCTGTTTCTGCGATGGTGTACCGAAGCTCAGGCTCTGAATATTGATCTCTGCCTTGAGCTGTTCCGGGGGTATGTCGTCCACTCGAAACTCATTCGGGTCCTCGACGAACGCCTGCTGTAAATCGCGCATGATCTTCTTACGGATGGTTTTCTTCATGGACAGGTGTCTCTCCAGATGTTTTACGTCGCTCTCGGTTAAAGTTTTGCTGTTGTCGCGACGACGTGACTTCTTCTTCTTGCTGTTTTTAGGACTTTCCTCTTCACCTGACGTCGAGCCAACGGACACAGCGCTGTCGTGGCCTGGCGCCTTCTCCTCGGCCTGTACTCGGCTGTTCTCCCATTTGCCACCGAATCCGAAGATGTCCCGTAAATGAGGAATGTTCCGGTCGGCTGTCTGCTGCCTTGCCATTGTCTTTTATTTGGCCGTATCTCGAGAACGCTTCCTCGTCAATACAACTATCGTTCTGGAAAACCGAATTTATACGAAATTATTCTATTTTTGTCCACCAACTTCTCGAAATTAACGCTACAAGTACCAAGCAACTTTGTTTTACTCATGTACATCGATGTCATCGAATTCTTTCTTAAAACTACTCAATTATTTATAATATTTTTCCTAGCGAAAAGGTAATAAAAGTAATTATATTAATAAGAATCTTCGCTTGTACCACCGGTTACAGAACAGCCTGTATAATATAAAGAAGATCTAGTTAACTAACAGAAAAAAAGTAATTATAGTAAAAAGAAAAAGGGGCTTGGCCTCGTTCTAGTCGGGCGAGTTTGTACTGCATAATACAAACATGTGAAATAGACAGCCAAAGAGAAAATGGCGTGTGTTGTCGGGAGTAAAAAGAAGCGTGCGTATCGTTTACGCTGGTAACCTGTTGCTCCTAATAATTAGGTGGCGTGCGCGTGCTGAAAGCGGTTTCCCAGGCGCCGTTAAATTGCATGGTTATATCGGCGAGTCCGCGGTTTACGATTACGGGGCCGCGACGCATGATGCATTCCCGTTAGCGTTACTACATGTAAACATACATAGATTACAGTGTAATATACATTCAACGTAGACGTCTCCTTTTTTAGCGTAGACAGACTACGACAGGACTTTTAATCGTCCCCTGGAAGAAAAATCACAGTGACTCGACCGGATCCGAGTGAATCGTTGCGAAGAAGAGAAGGAAAGATTCGCAAACGGGGACCGACGAACCGTTAGTTGATGATGTTGAAACGAATCGACAACGTTTAGTTCACTTCCATGTGATTCGATTACGAAAACATTTTTTTTAAATTTTCACGGTTATTAGTTATTATAGCTTACGTTTACCCCTATACAGAACAAAAAATACCTTCAAGGCAACTTGGTGTTTATTACAACAAAATAATAAAGCACTTTTCTAGTACGTATAAAATAAAAAAAGAGTTGGCGCACCGTTGCACTGGTTCGATCGATATCGAACGTCGATAGAAGCGTAATACATACATATGTATACGTTTGGGTCGACAACTGGCTACGACAGAGCGAAAGAGGAAACGGGAGGAACGGTTTACTTGGGCGATACTGGCTGCCTGGCAAGCCAACTCGCCACACACACAGAAGCGACACAGATATAGTTGCAAAAGCTGTAGGAATTACTTTTCAATGATTATCCAGTTTGCAGTTTTCATATATTGTAGCACACTTTCGTCATAAACTCAAGTCATTATACGGTATAAATAATTTTATCGTAAGTCAAGTGGCCAGGGAGATTTGAAAAACAAATGAAATTTTTTAAATAGAATCTTCCATATTTTTGTCCATAATATAATGGCATTTGTTTAGACAAATTTATTGACATTATAATACGTGGTTATTTAGTCCGATGAATAACCATTCTGATTGAAATAAAACATCCTATATAATTATTAATCCAATAACTAAAAAGCTTAGAATGAATAGACCATACATAATTAAAAATGCATACTAAATCTAGTTCGTAAATAAACTCGATTAATAATAAAATCATATTTTACTGATAAACATGTATTCGTTAAAGTAATAAAATTACTTAAAACAGGATCCGCATAGAGATTGAAAACGTTTTAAAAAAATGTTGGATGGTTACGAGCATGATTGATGTTATTTTTTATGTAAGGATTCTATAGACATTTTTGTACGATAAAACAAGTCTCGATTCCGGTTTGACCAGCTATTACGCGATTAATAAATCGTGATCGTAAACGATTACGCGACACGGTACGATTTGCGCGCCAGTGACCTAATGGATGAGCCTAGTCGTAAGATAAAATACCCAGTACTTGAACACCGCAAAAAATTGGACTAATACTTGAACAATTTCGTTACACTGGTGTTGTTTGAAAATATTTGTTGTAAATATAAATAACAACTGCATTGTATTTGCAGGTGTCAGCTATAGATATTTTGTTAATTTTGAAACCATAATAATTTTTTCCCGGTGACAAAAACAAATTTTTTTTCGAGGTTATACACTCTTCGTAATTTTAAGGTTGTTGAAGTTTTTTCAAACAGGATTTTTATCATCGCGATGTAATTTGCCGAGAAGATCGAGACAAATTCAACGACCTCTGGCGCTACGACCTTCGCACAACCTCGAGTACGAGTAATTCATAAAAGCTGGCCAATTTAATGGAAATGGTGAAATAACGATTACAGAATGATTAAAATTTTGAAGAGTATGAGCTCGAAAACAATTTTTTTTGCAGAAATAACGTAGATATTTTCGAAAACGGGCGAGTACAACCATAGGAAAAAAGAAAGATCGCGATATAACGAATCAGCGCTCGCCGGGGTCGCGATAAACGGCGGTTACCTGTACAAAAACAACAACAAAAAATGTGTTATTAATTTAATTGATTTACGAGGGGGAATGTCCTCGCTCTAGGAACAAGCGACGGATTCCGAAATGAAGGGATAAAGAAGTGTTTATTCCCAGGCGAGGGAGCCGAGAAAAAGAAGCAGACGGTGGTTATTAGCGTACGAAATAACGCTAGAATTGTACCGTAAGTCGTTGGAGAGCGAGCCTTCACGCATGGCGGATCGAAGCGAACAGGACACGGAGAACAGGCACGATCGATTCGTGGCTCGTTACGGCGCGGCGCGGCGCGGCGCGGCGCAGCGTCTGGTCGAAAGTTCGAGCCGAGCTCCGTGCATTAATATTTCCGTTATTGCGCGCACGAGCACACCGAGGTTATGCCTTTCACACAGTGAAATAATAATAATAATAATAATACCGAGCGTCGGTCGTCCGCAGCTTCTACGTGCCTTCGAATCGTTCGCGTTCTTCTTCCTTGGAAAGAGTCAACAACGTCGATCGTTGATTCAATGAATGGAAACTTTCCACGGTTGAAAATTTTCTGTTATCGGGTATAAAAATCCATCGGTCAAATCTTTTGTGTTTATATTTATTTTAAAATTTAGATTTCTATTTAAATATTGTAATACAAATCTAAATTATTTAAGTTTAAACAGTTTCATGTTGTTATGATTACACTTGAATTTATTTACTTCGTAATATAATTTAATGGACGATTTAATTAACAATAAATTGTTTTTACTTACGACACGGACACTTTTTTCGATCGAGTAAACTTTCAAGTGCCAGAACTTTTGCAACTTTCATTCGATAAAATTGTTTCAAATTCTTTTACGAGTAAGTAGAATGTGGACAGCGCGCAGTAATTTTATTTATCACGTTGAGTGCAATGTCTGACCCAGTACGCCTCCACGAATAGTCTTTTTATCTTCGTGGAATAATGAAATGTAGGAAAAGGTGGAGTAACGGGTAGAATTGCTTTCCACTCTGTTTTAAAATGTAAAAGCCATTTGTAGGATCGCCTTGTGCTTTCCGATTTGTACCAAGAACGAGACGATACCGTGAAATATGTAATTTGGGCCTTATAATTCAGTTTTGCATCGATATTCCAATAATAAATATATATATATATATATGTATACGGGGGATTCTAAGCCATTTCGATCACTTATGGACCCGACCATTTTTTATTTGGCTGAAATTTTTTTATATCATAGTACCCTACTAAATACCTTTTTGCAAATTTTTGCAAATTTTTGCAGAATTTTTGTGAATTGCAAAAAAGAAAATGAAAAGGAATTATTTTCGAGAATGCACGTTTTGAGGGGAAAAAATAAAGTGTCGAAATTTGTTAAAATTAAGTTTCTTTCCGAAAAATAACGAAATTCCATAGAAGGTGAATTCAAATATTTTGATTGGTATTTTTTCGTAAAGTTCATTAAAAAAACGGACGTTTTGAAAAAAGGAACGACTAATTTGGTCAAGTATAAGGATCGTTTGAAAAGGATTGTATCCGTACTGAAATTTGCATTTACCAAGCGGAGCAAGCGAATGTGTGGTGACTTATGGATGGCATTATGCACGTATAATCGAACCTCGAACGTTCGGATCCATAGATCACCGAAGAATTCTTAATCCAAATGGTCACGTTTTCTGTCACTGCACAATAGTCTACACACTTTTCACGAAAATTTGGTAATTGAAAAACTGCCAGCACAATTGACGATGGGAATAGATGAACGATCGTAAACAGCGTTGGACGCGATACGACCCGATCGTGTCCGTGATCGCGGCGCGACTCAAGCGTCGCGTCGATCGGGGACTTTCACTTCGGGATTCGTGCGGCCCTCCAACTCCAATCCCTTCTCGATTCGATTATCCGCAGTACGCCCACGCTCGCCGCTCTGAATCACGATCGAATTGTTCTTACGCGAATAACGCTACAACGAGTGGAGATCCGAACAGGGACATTGCCTAGTTGCATTTTTCCAGAGGCCACCCAATCATGTTCCAAAGAGTTTTATTTACCCGGGTGAAGCAATATCGGGTGAAGGTATCGTCGAGAATACAGATTTATGTATCTATGTGGAATGTTTTACTCCGTATATTTGTAAAAATATCAGAAAATCCCTTTGGATTTCCATTCTTTCGATATTTTTAGGTTGATTTACGTCTTGGAAGTGAATATTTTGGCAAATAGTTGTAAAAATTAATCGTTTCTTTCAATGATTCGTTCACGAAGCTGACCGAAGAATACTGTCTCGATGTTGTAATCGCCATCTGACAACTATAGTAGCAGATTCTCCTCTTGGTTCGGTTGAGAAGGGAATGGAGAGGGTTCACCTTTCACCCTAGAGGCCTAGAGTAACTGTACAACGAGGAAAGTCAGGGAATGGATTATGGCAACGCCGACGGAGCCGAACAGCTGGGACTCGATATAACCTGCCACGATTATGTTTCTGTTGCCGCCTCGAGTATTAATTTTCCATTTACGACTCTCTACGAAATAAACACTCGCCACTCTTAATCTTCTCTTCTCTTCTCTTCTCTTCGAATCTTAGCGCTTCTATTCCTGACTCTCATCTTGTCCCTTTTTCTTCCCTCTGAAATCATGTATTTCGGCGTACAAAAAT